CCCCCCCCCCCCCCCCTTTTTTAAATTAAATACCAATTTTTTTCTTAATACTGTTTTTTCAAATGCACAGTTTGGAGCTTAGAGGAGTAGATTGGTCTCTAGGTTGCCGATCGGTGATGTTAAAAAGATAAGATTGAGAAACAGTGTAGAACTGCTGGAGGAGTGGCTTGATGCTCTCAGCTTCCGTGAGCGTATTGAACATACGACTTTGGTCTGATGAGGCCTTGTCTCTGGCACTGGGGAAACGCTGTGCAAATCATTATATTTGCAGTGATATCTGTCAAGAAGGTGAGTTTGCCCCAAGTATGTCAATGTCTGTGTGTGTGTGTGACTTTTGAACACTTCTTCACTGTTTTTTATCATTAATTTGTGTTTCAGAATGCACCTGTTTGCTCTCTTGAGATATTCATCTAACAAAATTATTGTCTTATAGCCTCATAAAAATCCATGGTAACTATCATTTAGAAAAAGAAAATTGCCGATTGAAGGTAATGACGTGAATTTGTCATAGCTACCAGTATATTTTCTTTGGGTTTTTCTTTTCCAAACACTTGGAGCATTCCTTTTCTTCCCAGGAGAGAGAGATATGTAACAAGGTTAAGCAGAAACTCTTCTAATCAGGGTGAGCAGATACATGACATCAATGACTTGAAACTTTAATTCCTAAACTATCTGTGAATATTTTAAAAACTCTCATGATGTGTTTACTCTCTGGCTTGTTCTCTACATAGTTTCTGAATTGGAAACATGTAGTGAATATGCATTGTCTGCACCAGAGATCAAAAAAAAACCCAAGTCATTCTGTATTGATTTTTTTGTTTCTTTGAAAGTTTCAAAATGTACTGGAGAGACTGTGCAGGCACTCAAGGCATGAGCTAAAATTTTGAGGCTATTGAAATGAAGGTGGAACAACAGCATATACTTAGACTGAATTAATGGTAATATGGTAACAATAGCAGGATAGGCTATTATGGTAAAACTAATGGTAACAGTGTTATGGTAACAATAACAGGAAAGAAGCTAGCAGCACAGCTAAGAGGGTTTGCCATAGTTGCACCATCATTTTGTTGTGTGGTAAACCCTTTAGGGCTACTTAACTGTATGAAAGCTGTATTAATCAATTGTTCCACAATAGTTTAAGAGGTTTAAAACTGTAAATATACAAGAATTCTTAGTTTTGTATCGGAATGGGAATGTATTTGCGTGCTCTAAAGTGCATCCCTAAAAGTTGCAGTGGGGCTTCCTTATGAAGACAGCAATAAAGTACAGAACAGTCTTTGTGCCATGATTTGCTTTTTGCAATGAAAATACATGCTCTTGAGCTCCGTTTATCTTAGATGCTATCTCAGCTGAGATACTCTTTTTTTTTTAAATATCTGATGTAATCATAAAATGCTGCCAGTTGATAGCTAATGGATTTTAAATGCTGCAAGTGTGGGAGTAGGAGGAAAGTAGGAGTGTTAATTTCTCGACATTTTTTTCCTTTCACTGTGTAGTCTAAAACCTACCAGTTTAACGGCTGCCTCCAAGTTTATGAAGTGTGCCTTGCTCTGTGTCTTGATGCTACACACACTGATAAAGAGATGAGGCTAGGTTTTCTACTCCAAAAAATAGTGGTGTTCCAGCATAAACCTCATTCCCAGTAATCAAGCAGTGCTAAACTGAGCAGGTAGGGTGAATGTTATTTTTCTGCTATTACTAAGTTTTGTCTGTTGCAATTTTCCTTTTCATACATGTAGCCATTCTTTTCAGAAACACACATGCTATCCCTTTCTAGATGAATGATTTGTACCATACATAACTGGATAAGTGTAAGTAATATAATAAGACCAATTATAAAGACTAATTTAAGTGATATTTCTCCAAGCAGAATTGTTAATCTTTGCCTAGCCTTTTGTGTGAGCAGCGTACAATATTAAGTTCTAAGAGCTCATGGCTCTTTCCAGCCCTTGGTGTAAGTATGTACATTCCTGGGTATCTTGTGTAAGCACCCTTGTGTGTCTGTGGGGGATTTCACAGGATTGCTGCTGACAAATAACTGCATTTCTGAAGGTACTAAAAAAGCTTTGGGGATTATTCTAACTAATTGCACCGCTTAGAGGCTGACATAAAGATCCCTTCAAAAATATGCTTTGAAAATGTTTTAGACTCACGCGTGTTCTTCAAGGATGTGTCTGCTCGTTTGAGTAAAAATAAACCAAGACTTGCTCTTTTAGCTGTTGTGGTGGTAATAATCATCTCCCATTGATGCACTGCATCCAGAATAGGAAGTCTGTCTAGAACCTCGTGTTCAGCTGCTGCTTTTTTGAATATGGTCAGTGATTCATTATAACAAAGGCGATCCATATGAAGTCAGACTGGTATCCTATCAAGTTTAATATCCTAGTTTAATGTAAAAAATGCACTACAGCTGTTTGTAGAAGGAATTATAAGAAATTCCAAGCAAGGTTGTTATTTGAACGATGTCAGCTCTTTCGAAGTCTTAAGTTGCTTCTTAAGATTTTAGTGTTTGGTAAAGTCTTGAATTTTGCTTAGTGACTAGGGAAAGTACAACCGTGTTCATTATCTATTACAAACATTCAAAAGTTTTTTTTTTTAATTCCACCCTGCTTTTGACCTCAGTGATATGTAGTGCCAAATTCTCCTCCATGCATATATGCTTCTGCTTCAAAAGCACTAACAGCTGCATGAATTGCAATAGAATTTTAAATTACAGTATGATAGGTTGGAAGAGGGAGAGGACTGTTGTTTGTTGAATTCTTACTTTATATGAGTTTGACAACTTGTTTTCCTAGTGTTAAGAAGTTATTTTGTATTTGCCTGTCACCAAAATTTTCTCTGATGACTTGATATTTATGTTTTGTTGTATTTTTCCCCTTTGCTGCATTTCAGATTTTAGTTAGGAAATAGCTAAACTGTAAGTCATTTATTTTTTCACTGTAATCATTGTAAGTTAATTTCTCTAGCTCCTTAGTCTTTTTTTTCTTTTGAAATTTCCTCTGATTTGTCTAAGATGGCTATGATTCCTTACAAATATTTGGAGAGTGTAGTTGCCAGTGGAATGAATGAGTATCTTGTGAAGATGCTCCTATTTAGCACAGTATCCAAGAGGAATGGAATTATTTAAGAGGGGAAAAAGTACAGGAAAAACACTTTCTGAAAACTGGGCGAGGGGGAGAGCGTAGCTTGTAGATTCTGATCACGCAGTACTCCTCCATGGTTAGCGTTTGAATTCTGTGTTTGCGTTCCTGGACTTAACTTGCTGAGGCAATGCATCTTCTTTTTCCATATGAAGTTTTGGGGGTTCTGCTTGTGATTAACTTCAATATAAAATGATTAATTGTGTAAGTTAATTACATTAATTACATGATATTGCAATCATCCTGAACCCTGTAGCATTCCATACGGTTTACATATGGCTTGGCCTGCTTTGTGTACCATCCAGTCCTGGCAATTTCCAAATAACCTGAGGTCCTGACCTCAAGAATGCAACTTAAAATGTGTTTGAGGCATTTACCGCATGTTCCTCATAGAACAGAGCAGGGCATTTTATCCTGGGCAAGGAAGAAATGTTGGCAAAGAGCTTAGAAAGGTCTTAGCAGAAGGCCCTTGGGGGCAGGGAGCATTGTGGGGGTGTTTTTTTTTTTTTTTATTTTGGTCCTCTGATATCACAGATGTGGCATCCCCTGTGTTACCCCAACTTGCTTATGGCTGCGCTGTGAAATAACACTGTGAAATAACAGGTATTACAGGAATCTGAGGTCATCTGCCTCTCAAAAAGCAAAATCCTTTATACCATCAAATGGTTTCACTCTTTGACTCTTCTTATCCCAGGATTGTTCTCAGTTCACAGCGGGCAGAGGAATACAGCAGAGAGGAGAGCCTAGCAGAACAACAGTAGTGTTTGGCTGTGTCATCATAGGAGGTTGTAGCCCCTTCATCCCCAACAACCCGCCAGAGTGAAAACTTTCAGGACTTGTTATAAAGAATGTTTAAAAAAAAAAAAAAAGTAGATCGCCTATTGGAGACCATTCAGGAGAAGCAAAAACAGTCTTACTGTCCTTCAGCTTTCTTCTAGTGCAGAATTCAGCAGGCCAAATGTATTTAGGTGGACTGCTCCAGCTGTCCAGAATGTACATGCCTCAACAGTAATAATATTTAAAGAGCCAAAAGGAAAATCAGCAAAATGAAACTTCACACATTAGCTGCAGTCTATTTTCTTGATGTTTGCATAGACAGTGAAGTGGAGTTTTTTTGTTTTGCTTTTGTTGTGTTTTGTTTTGTTTTTTTCCCAGTTTGGCTAAGAGGGATGCATCTGGTAAGTATCCTCTGCAGTCTGCTCAAAAAAACCTTCTCATTAGAAAAACAAATAGCAGCAATTGTAGAGGTTGAAGTATTTATTACTTCCAGGTCAAATGTTATTTTTGGCAAGGCTGTATTATAATTCTGATTCAAGTAAAATCCGTTCACCCCTTTCCAGATAAGTGTCTAATGCTCATTACCCTCTAAAGTATGGGATCCATATAAACAATCATGTGAAGAAAAGTTAATAGGTGTAGTTGGATATGCGCCGTTTGCAAATGTTCTGAGATTTGTGTCCTGCTCTGCTAATTGGGATCATGATCTTACGAGACTCCTGGTGATGAAGCAGACTGAGTGCAGCATGCATGAGTTCCCCTTCATGGGCCCCTCTGAGACCTGAGCAAGCTCAAATGGACAATGTTGTGAACCTGTTCTCCTGTTCAAAGCGCTCATATAAATCAAGAGTGAGATCTGTGGACTTGGATTCACACATAATGGCACTTACAATGCTCCAAGAATGTTGAGCTCCAGGAATTGTCTGTGTAGGTGGTCTCAATTTGTGCTATGTACAAATTAAACTTGGATGAAAAATTTCCAAGTAGTTCAAAATGTAAGAAAAGCTTCAGAACTGAAGGAAACTTTAAGGAAAAACGTGCTTGAGCAACTTTTTTTTTTTTTTTGGTAGCACTTCTTGCCACAGTTCTTGGATATCATATGTATTTTTTAAGTTCCCAAGATTTTTTGGAAAACTTTGCCTTTGGAGCTCTGAAAATTCACCACAGTCTTCACCTGTCATTCTTGCTGGCTAAGGATCGTTAACTATTGCGAACTATGCGACAGCTTTGTGGCTGTTTTCAGCTGGAGGCAAGGATGATACCACCAAATTAGGTTTCACTGTAAGTCAAAGAAAGCATTTGTCTTTTGTGCCATGGGGGAGTTCATTATTTGATGTAATACTGATGATAAAATCTCTGTTTTCATTTTCACCATTACTTAGATAATAACACTCCTACCATTTCTTGTGCAGGGCTGGGGTGGGTAGAATTTACTTTTTGATATAATGCAGAAAAGGAAAAATATGTAACATCAATCATTTTCATTACACTTGTTTGTATCTGGCAGCTGATATACTTGATAGAAACTCAAATTGTGAATGTGATAGAACCAAGACTCTTGATGGAGAGTTTATGTATCATTTTTATAGAATTGCTACTTATGGTTAGATTCAAAGTGTAATTAACTGCCTGAGGAAACTAAAAAAGATCTGTGAGGTAGTGTTTCATTGACATTTTTCTCTTGCCTAGGGACAGATATTTGCAAATTAAAGCAAAGCCTACAACTTCCTCTCTACTCCATCCACTCCCCAGCAAATCTTACATAACAGGCAGTGTGCTGCTGTGGTATAAACATGACTGTTCACTTTGTATTTCGTTTTACTCATGTATGTCAAGGCACTCCTGTCAAGATTTTAATTTCTCTTCACAGTAGGAATTCATTTTTTTTGTTTTCCTTTGTATCATTAATATTTAAATTTTCTGTGATTTGGGGGAAACAAGATAAATCTTGTAAATAATCATCAAGCTTTTACTGTTGAATCTCAGTAGCTTCAGTAAACATGGAAGTTTTTTCCAGGAAGGAAGATAACCATAGATGAGTGTTTTGTCTTTCCACTTGGGTGTGTTTCTGACTGGCTAGAGAAGAACCAAATGTCAGCTTCCTTCAAAAATACCAAGAATCCTGTTCTGTTAGCAGTTGGGCACAGATTTTTGGAGAAAGTTAACAGCCTTTAAATCTGCCATTGACCTGACTGAGTATCTTGGATATTGGCCTGTCTCCTTTCTAAAGTTTCATGGCCTTTCATGAGGGTTTCACCTGAAGCGTCAGGCAGCAGAAGCCAAGAGGATAGGCCCAAAACCAAATTCTCTGAAGGTCTCCTTGCTTGCCAAAGCGTCAGTAGTGTTGAGTTTAAGTGACCTCTGCCTTGTGTTGCCCAGTGTACGTGCGACTTGTGTGTGCTCTGTTGAATGTTACAGTTCACAAGGGCGTGGGCTGTCTCTGAGCAAAGCTCAGCAGCTGGGCAGCTCCTGGCTGCCTCAATGCAATTCCTCTTGCCTCTCAGCAATGCCGTGTTGATAATGTTGATCACACAAGATGGTCTGGAGCCCCTCTTAGGAGGGGTCTCACAGTGCCTACTCTGAGACAGGTGGGTTTGGTAAATGGTCTGAACTCAAAATGAGATTAAGCTGCCTTAAAAGGGCAAATTTGGATTATAAAGCTATGACTCTCGAGACCAGAGTAAATGTAGCCTGTACAACTAAAGGCATGGAAAATGATGAGTGAAAAAAACGCTTTGTATTTCTTGCCCAG